CTTATTTTATCTTTCTTTTAAATTCATTAATAGTTCAAAAAGTACAATTATGACAATTGATATTTTCAAAAAAAATATATTATTATCAAAGGATAATTTTAAAAAATTAATATTTTTAAAGTGCAATAATTGTACTAAAAAAAAGTTAGATTCCAAAAAAAAAAAACTATTATTTTGGAATGTTTTGTTTCAAAAAATAAGTATAATTTTAAAAATTTCATAAAAAATATTTTCCGCTCGAATAAACAAACGGCTAAATTCAAGAGTTCTACTAATCACACAAAAATAAAATACAACAAAAACACCGAGTACACAATGAATAAATAAAATTTTACATTATGTGTTCCACTCAGCCACCGACTCCAGTTTCTCTCTCCCTCTCTCTCTCTCTCTCTCTGTGAAAAACACTCAAGAAAGAATCGAAGACACAAGTTCAAGTATCTACCACAAAGAAGGACAATGGTGATGGAGTCAGATGTTCAACGAGAAGAAGAAGAAGAAGAGAAAGCAAAACAAGTCTCCAAACAAGGAAATGCCTCATCTTCAACTCCATTGGAGGTGTCTGCTACTGAATCAGAGGGCTCTATCAAAGGAAATGTTCATCCACCCTTCAACAAACAGACTATTCACAACGATGATGATCTTCTCTCAAAATCAAAATTTGGGTAATTACTTGCTGGGGAAAGTAGTGCCTTCAAGTTTGCGATCACAAGCGGGTGGCAAGGGTTTGTTGATTGCTACGGTTTAAAAGCTATGGATGTGATTCGCTTCTACAAACCATTCAAAAGATTACACTCCAGGCATTTCCTGATTGATTTTGTTAAAGTAGAAGAAAATGTTGTTTTACCTTCTCAGAATTCGTGCATGAAGCAAGGCTGTGATGAGGCTTGCGATGACGTTATCTTGGAATCAAATTTTGGGTAACTAGTTCTGTACCAAGAAACTGGTTTTTTTTTTTTTTTTAACTTTTTTCTCTCTTGAATTTCTTGAATCAAAACTGTTTTTTCATTCCAATTCTTCCATTTTCTCAACAAGCAAAAAAGAGTACATAGGATTTTCATCTTTCTGCATTTCTGTTCTATGTCATTTTTGCAACTATCAGGATGATGAGTAAATAATTGGTTGGGTACATAATTGAACTTGGAGTTTTCAATCTATTAGGACTTTTTCCGGATGTTTTGTGATTGAAACAGTACAATTTCTGCATAACAATTTCAATACTCAATTGATTGTAAGAACATATCTCATACAGGATATGACTTGATGTATTTTGTGCCAATTGCAATGTTCAATTGACTTCATTTTCTTCACCTTTGCAGAACCTCATGCTTGTCTGAGAGGACCAACGAGGAGGTACAAGACCCAGAAAGTGAATCCCATAGGAGAATTTTTCTCTTTGAGTTGCAGTTAATGCTTAATGATGTTGAACAAGGCATGCTCTTCATTCCTGAGCAAAGAGCAGCAAAGCATTTCCCTCCTCTACTAACTCATATACCTTATTATAATTGCGAGCACCAAATTGAAGTTTTCGACACTCAAAACCAGAACTGGAAAATGACACTCGTCTAGAATAGCTTGTTATGTGCCTTCATCATTGTAAGAGGCACTACTGGAAAATTCACTTTTAGCGGCGTTTTAAAAATGCCGCTAAAAGTACTAAAAACGTCGCTAAATCTTTTTGTGACGTTTAGTACCAAACGCCGATGACGCGGCCGTCGCTATAACTTTATGACGTTTGTCAAACATCGTTATATTAGTATAGGCGGCGTTTTTAAAAACGCCGCCAAATGTCCTATTAACTGTACTATGATGTCACTACGACATTTAGCGACGTTTTTGAAAATGCCGTCATAGACATTTATACATTTTAAAAATTTAGCCATTGGATGGGATATAGTGACGTTTTTTAAACGCCACCATAGCCTTTTTTTTTAATTTTTAAATTTTGTTAATTTTATATGGTTGAACAACAAAAATATCTTTCAAACAATTATTAAGAACTAATAATTGATGTTTATTAAAATAATAAATAAACTAAGCTTAAAAACAAAATTAAAAATAAGAAACAATGCATTGCATACCTAAGAATAACAACAATTCAGACTTTAAATACATCAATTAAAATAGAGCTTACTATACAATAAAATAGACATAACTCTACAAAATATAAAAGTAAACATAACGATAAAAAACTGCCTTGAGCATGTCATTCCGCAAGTTCAAGATCTCTTGCTCCAGCACTTCAGCTCGAGATCCCTGAAAAAGATGTTTACAGCATTAAATTTGTTCTTTGCTTGCCTTAGCATGAAGAAAAAACAGAAATAGGATCATTCACCTGAAGTTTGCTACGTAGATCCTCTTATCTCTAGTTTTTGTCGTTTCAGTAAGGCAGCATCTGTCAAAATCTACAAACAAAAAGAAACAAAAAAAGACTGTTACTTTCTCCTATACATAAATGATTGGACATCAAATACAATCACTAATCAAAAGCAACAATTTTTACTAACGAAGAAAAAATAGAGGTGGAGAGGACTTCTACTGATAGATGTCAAGTTCAACTACATTTATGATTGCCCAACTAACATCGATTCGAGATCTAATGTCTCTAAAATTTTTCCATCTAGATGGCAAAATTTGCAGGTATGATCAAGCATTGTGCAAGAAAAATAAGCATCCACGCATCTATTACCAGAGCTGCTCTTCCAAGTGCCTCACAAGCTAACAAAAATCAGAACAAAAGAAGTTAAAACTTTGTAAACCATAACAAAAATCAGAACAAAAGAAGTTAAAACTTTGTAAACCATAACACTGGTATACCAGAATTGAGGCAAATTTTTTACCTGAACATCTCCGTGTTATGCTTAATAGTCAATCCGAAATAAAATGTCTTAACTCAATGATATGGTCAATCCGAAATAAAATGTCTTAACTCAATGAGGAATATAGATTTAATCTCTCAAATTTCCATGGCAGGGATATGGTTAAAGACCCATCACCAAATACTCAAATCAAGTGAGCTTTCGTATGTACAGAAGTGAACAGGCTTGCAACATGCTGGCCCTGTTTGGTGCAACTTTTGGAACTGCTTACAGCTTTTTTTCAATTTTTTTTTTTAATTTGAATTTCTGTGCTACGCTATTTGGTAATGCAACTTCTACTTATAACTTATGATTCAAAAATAGATTAAATAAGTTGAAAAAAAGTTGATTATCTGAAAGTTGGGAGAAAGATGCTTTTAGAATCTGCTTTCTAATTATTAGCATTCAGCTAGAGAAAAGTTGGCACCAAATAGACCCTTATAATAACAAGGATTATTTTGGGTCATAACTAAAATGTCGTTATGACACCATATTATGTCATAATCAAAACTCAGAGACAAAACGTGCCAACTTTTTTTTCTATGTTGCCTCCACGGCCTCATGGTGCCATAAGCACCAAACGCCTTGGACTGTTGAACTGTTTCTCAAATGAGTTTTTATCCTTTTTATTTATTTTATTTATTTAAGAAAAGGAAAAAAAGAGCAAACTTGTTCATTAGCAAACAATCTTTTAACTCTTCCAACCACAACTCATAAAAAGAGAAACACCAACTATACCTGAGTAATGGTCACTTGATCCTTTAAGAATTGTAGATCTGTAACAAGAACTTCTAAACTAGCTCTAGCATTTTCCAAATTCTTTTGTAGAAGATCAGTGGCCTGCATTTTGAAGTTTGAAGCACTTAAAATCTCGTGTCCGTGTGTAAAATGCTAACATCTTAAGATTACAAGTGGGGTACCTCTTCACATGAGTACTCCAGCATGACATTTGCTCCCAGCCATAAACATACTGAATCAGTATCCTCGATGCATGCTCGGGAATAGATGCCTTCTGACACTTCAAAATAGGCGACAGTCACCGTCTTCCTCTCCAAATAAACACCTTTCTGCTTTCCTTTCAGCCGGAGTAGGGTAACCTGCAATCAGTAAAATCCAAAATTCAAAAACAAAAACAACATTGTTGAGAGAGAGCAATTTCTACTGTACAAGAATGTATAAAAAGGAGTGTGTGAATGGTCTGGGTTCTCTTCATTTGAATCTCTATTAGAGACAAATTGAACTTGTGTTATGCTAGGACATTGAATTTGTATTAGAAAATGAAAGTAATAAATAAATAAAATAAAATAAATTTATTATTGGATAAGAAAAATGAGAAAGAAAAAGAAAGGAAAAAAAAACAATAATAATAATAATCCTTCCTACCCAACAAAAAATTATCCATAATTCAAAATGTGTGGATTAGATTTATCTTAGGCGTGATTCACACCACATCAAATTTGAATCAACACTATATGTTTAATACAACCTCCTGGGACATTTTCTCCATTGGTCATATAGAACTGCCTAAAAAGAATGAAAACTATAACAAGAACTAGAGCCAAGTAAACAAGACACAAAAGGAATGTCTTACAGCGTGCAAGTTCAGAAGTTTTTCATTTGTCAACTTCTCCAAAGACCGTGCAAGCTCCATTGCTAAATCAACAAATTAGCCACAATCAGTATCAATCACTTAAGATACAGAGGTTTCAATCAGTTTTTTTAAAATAAAGGGTTCATGAGTATGAGTACACAAATTGACATGCCATGAACAGCAAAACCACAAAACAAAGGCAATTTTACAAGCACTTGGCAAGTTTGGGAACATACTAAAATAGCTAAAAGGTCACTACCAAAAAGTCAACTTTTCTCTCTACTTCTTTGCACGTCTTTTAAAAAAAAAATCTAAAAAATCAACTAAAATAGCTACTTCCCAAAACAGCAGGCTAAGATGTCATTGTTATCCTGGGTCTTTAATCCAAATAATAATACTTAGTTATGCTTCTGTTTTCATGAAACCGGGTTGGGTTTTCAGACCAAGCAATGTTCCATATATCTAGCCTTACCTGAGATAGGAGGGCGAGATTGGACCCGGGCCAAAACGATGGGCTGCAGGCCATACATCCTTAAAGAATCACTAGATGTAACATGGATCAATCACATGTGAGCTTGTCATAAACTTCTTCATACATTGCCTATAACCATCCAATTAACATTAACAATCACAAAGGATCTCAAGTTACTAACATATTACCTCTTCAAGCAATCAACTTTCAGACATCACACCTTTGCTTTCTGTTTAGTATCATTCACTGGTTGTTCCTACTATTTATGTTGGAGAATTCATCGATAGGGCTCAGCATTCCAAGGATCAGCTTTTCCTGTTTAATAGCTACGAAACACAGTCAAGTAGTCACATTTTCAGGGAAAGCAAGATAATATATATATGGAATACTTAGCCAAGTAAATCCATTAACATTATGAATATAATTATTGATCACTCTCAATCCATTACATAATTTCTCATCTATGCATGTAATGTATGTTTACATGCCATCTCTTTTTCAAATGCATGTGTGTTGATATATGTGTTTGTACATGCAAAATTGTGGCAAGGATACATTCTTGGTCAGGGTTGTCAGTGAAATTTGAGTGCAGGGCATTCCCAACGCTCACCCGAACATTTTGTAATTGCATATATCGGTCTTTGAATGCAGAATCGTGCCCTCTGAAATCAAATTCCTAAACAACAGACTTCATAAATTATGCACACATTAATGTGGTATATCTAAAAAACAAAAATTATGCATAGGATTGTAAGATAACATAAGCGAAATGCCATTCTTCATGAAAATAATGTAATCATAAGAGCTTGGAGAAATGCATTAACACAAACACCTCCATCTCAATTCAAACTAATTGGATGGGTAGTTTATGATTTGAAGGGAGAATAAAGCGCTCTCTCTCTCTCTCTCTCTCTCTCGCTCAACAAGGCTAGGGGGGGTCAAGCATTCGACTCTCCACTTGTCTTTCCTGTATCGTTGGCTTTGTTATGTGCATATGACAATGTGTTGGACTTTTTTTTTTCATAGTTGAATGAATGTCCTATTTGTAAATGATATCCCTACAAATTGACAAAAAACTAAAAAAAAAAAAGGAAAAAAATTAAAAAAACCATCATACCTTCAGCAAAGAGTGAACTTGCAGGGCATGAAATCAAAGCTAATGCTCCTACTCCCAACAGTATTGCCCTTCTCTTAGAATTTCCTGAAATTTACCATTATATAATCCAAAACAAGAATCAAAACAATCATATCTCACAAGAAGTTAGTTTATACATCCCACCTTTGGCATAACTAGCAATTTTGCATCAAATTTACAGCCCTAATTTCAGAATTCACAAGACCAGAAGAATTTGTTATGAAGTACATTCTTCAAGAAATCATTATTACATCAAAGACATATAAGCAAATCCCATGTCACTCATAAAAAACAAGAAGTAAAATGCTTGAGCTATGTTTGGATATTGGATATGTGAAGGGATTTTTAGGGAGAAGAAAAAGTGAAGAGATAAAGAGTGGTAATTTTACTGTCTTCATCATAAGTTGTGTCTCCTGAACATGTGATAATGTTTTGTGGAAAAATTGCAGTAACCTTAGTTGAACAGTGGTAATGGGGCACAAACTGCCTGTTGATAGTAAAACGCAAAGAATAGGGTATCGGTGCCATAAGATTCAGCTCCTAATCGTTCCTAAAATGCAGGATTATTGACAATGGGTGCCTGTGATTGAGGATAGCTAGGAGGAGTCGCTGCAGGGTGTCTCTGTATGAAGACAAAACAAAATTAAAATATTTTTTCCCAAATCTTCTGGTCCAACATGATATAGATCAAAAGACTTCCATACCGGATTGTAGCTCTTTGCACGTTCAGAGTCTTTGGGTTGAGGAAGTTTGTAATAAGCAGCCTCAAGCATCTGAAAATTGTATAATTGGTCATGCATTCCCCCTGAATTTGTAGATGATCCACCAAGGTTATCACCAATTGTGCCAAGGTCTGAAACACTTCTTCGACCAATAACACCAAGGCTTCCAGAGGTTTGATTGGATTGCAAAGGCTGACCAGGAGAAAGATCAATATCCCTTGGCACTTGGGCAGACTCTGTCAAAGAGCCAGATGCGATTTCGAGAGAGAACTTCAATTTCTGAGCATTCCATTGATAAGCAACTTCAATTTCTGAGGGTTTAGACAGCGGGGAGAGAGAGAGAGATTATTTGTGAGTGCATCGATTCAATTTGGGAGTTGAGATTCTCAGATTGGAAAAGGAAGCGCGTGGGACAACATGCATTTGAAGGCGTAAATAAACGCCTCCAATTCATAAAACGGCGCCGTTTCAATTAAAGAAAAACAAGACGTTTATAAAACGCCGTAAAATATTAAAAATAGTGACGTTTTAAAAAACGACATTAAAAAAACGCCACCTAAACCCTTCTTTCCTGTAGTGAGGGTGGCACAGGTTTGTTGTTAGCCACGGTTTGGAGTTCATGGACGTGATTTTCTTCTACAAAACTCTCTCGCGTTTACACGACAAGCATTTCATAATCGAACATGTCAAAAGAGGGGAAGCTGAGACAGACAACAACCCTACAGAATTCAAGCTAGAAAATTTTCTGTTTAAGCAGCAATTGACCTCTGGCTATGTCAGTGACAACCGACTCAAACTTCCCAAGGAGGAAATGATAAATCATTTCCCTGCAATTGAGATCCCACCTGGAATAAGACTGAACTTTACTGATGCTCGAAACGAGGATTGGACAATGACAATCTTTTTCGCTAAAGTTCTTGATACCTACATAATTTTGGATGGGTGGGAGGGTTTTGTCAATAAGCACAGGTTGGAAGCCATGGATATGAATAGGTTCTACAAACTAGTCCAGCCTTTACACTAGAGGCATTTCCTTATTCAATGTATGAAAAGAGGGGAGGCTGCGTCTGTGGCTGAGGCTGAGGCTGGGACTGCTAGTCATGATGGTGAATTGGGTGGTGCAAAGAAAGATGGGAATGGGGGTAATCGTGCAAATAAAGGCGGAAGAAATCATGGCGGTAGTAATGGTGGTGGTGGTGATGGTGGAGGAGGGCAGAGTCGTGGTGATGGTAGCCCCAGGAAGGAGAAGATAACTTGCTATTGGACATGAAAAAAACAACCGTGGGGACTAGGAAAGAGCAGTCATAGGCCTGGAGGAATTCTTGCATGCGACAGACAGTGTTTGGGATTGTGATTTTGAATATCACTGTCATGACCCAAACCTGCCCCTATGGGTTAAGGACATAACCGGCCAGTAATCAAGGGATTACCTACGGCCTCAAACCATTCCAGACATGACTCATCAGAGTAAAGGGGCCAAATGGAAGCAATTTTAAAACTTTGTCCTTAGAGCTATGCTTATATGGCACATCATAACAATCCATACATATACATGTTAATAACTCACATCAAAATATGTACTAACACAAAGCTCTGTACATACAGGATCATTCAAGTCTAGGTTAGCCAATCAAAACTATATACAATCATAAACCAAAGTCCTCGCCAACATGACAAAATAAAATAAGATAGCAAAAGGGCGAAGACAAGTCTCATGCATGAGACGTAAGGGCTGACTATTCAAAACCTTGGTTGTTCCACACAAACTTCACTGATGCTGGGTTTGGACCTCTCTTGGCTTACCTACAAACACATGAATGAACGTGAGCGAAAGCCCAGTGAATAATATCAAATAAAGAAGATACATTAGAACAATATACATCAGACGGCCTTGGGCCCAATTCATATTTCTATCTAATATATATATATAGGTCAAGTGACTGCGGTTCCAAACACATCGGACGGTCGTGGGCCCAATCCATTCATGTCAAACAGCCTTCGGCCCATCCATTCTCTCATTCATGTCAGACTGGCCTTTGGCCCAACCATTCTTTCATTTATGTAAAACTGGCCTTTGGCCCAACCATTCTTTCATTCATGTCAAACTGGCCTTTGGCCCAACCATTCTTTCATTTATGTCAAATTGGCCTTTGGCCCAATCATTCTTTCATTCACGTCAAACTGGCCTTTGGCCTAACCATTCTTTCATTCATGTCAAACTGGTCTTTGGCCTAACCATTCTTTCATTCATATCAAACTGGCCTTTGGCCCAACCATTCAAATTAACGAACTTTTAAGACTTACATAGAAGTAAGCAATTGGACAAACAACATACTTCAGATATCTTTATTAAGATATTACTCATAGTGATCGGCTGGTGGATTCACCCTTGAACTTGGCCCTACACATCACATAACACATATGGGTCACAAACGATTGAATCCGTTCTTAATTCATATATCCCTCTTAGGCTTCTTTCTTATCCTTTTTATTCATTCATAATGCTCAATGCATGCCTAAGAGTACTTGGAAGTGAAAGAGAACGGAAAACGAAACACTGAACGTCTTTACAAAATTTCAGAAACAGGGGTCCCCGCTCGAGCGTGGACTTCCCCACTCGAACGGACCCATTAAGTCTACAAAAGTACTGGCTGCCTCGTTTTTATGCTCGAGCGTGAACTCGGACGCTCGAGCTGAAAGTCACTCTACATAGCTCCCCGCTCGAGCGAACATCAATGTCTGCAAAATATTTTGGGAACTCGTATTTTATGCTCGAGCGGCGGTTCCCCCGCTCAAGCGGACATCAAGAATTCTGGGTTTTTCAGAACTTGTTCTTGAGCTCAAATTCGACCTTCAATGGTCCAAAACCCACAATTCTGGTTTCAAAACATGCAAATACAATATATGTCATGAGCATACAAGCAAGATGAGGTCAATTGCTTAAAATCATGGCCCAATTCTTCAAAATAAATCAACATTCCTTTAGTATACTTAAGGCTCATGCATTCAATCCTCATATAAGCTTCATATCTTCCATAATCAAACATGCATGTCCATTTTTGACCTCATTTCCATTTCAAATAGCACCAATGATGCGCAAAAACATGAAAATCAACAAAACCATGCTTGCATGTATGCTTCAATGCTCATTTTCCCACATTCAACTTAATACATGCTTGATTGTGCAAAATCATGGTGATCCTATACATGCATGTGCAAATTAACTTCAATTTCACCAATTATAGCACAATTCTTGTTCTAGGTAAGCTATTCCTTTTGAAATCATATGGCTACAAACTCAAACCCATGATTTAAGGGTTGGTTACTCACCTAGGAGCCTTAATCTTCACCAATTCTAGTTGAATCTTGAGTCCAACCTTCCAATTTTCACCAACTTGAGCCAAACACACAATGATGTCTTCCCTCTCTTTTAAAGTCGGCTCTCTCTTCCTCTAGAGAGTTGATCTCAGCCAAAATGACTTAAAAGAGAAGGAATTAAGTGTATAATGCCCCCCTTATATGAGCACTACAACACCAATTTAATCTATTTAATTTGATCCAAATCAATTTTCAATTAAATTTCATCGTAGGCTCTAAAAATTACGCTAATCACAATGGCGTAGTCAATTTCGGTTTCTATGGCCGATATGGCCTTCAATTTTCAGTTTATAACAGTAAGCCGAATGGATATTCCTACGGTGAACAGATTGAAATCCAAAACCACATATTTTCACATAAATGGCACACAAAATTATATCAAACACATAATCATATTCATAATAAGGACCAATTAGCATAATACGGAACAAGGTTATCACAATCTTCTCCCTTTAGGAAGTTTGGTCCTCCGAACTTATTTTACCTTCATCGGGAAATAAATGTGGATAGCGTAGGCGCATTTCATCCTCTTTTTCCCATGTGGCATCCGTCCCATAGTGTTCTTTCCATTCCACTTTCACCATTGGGATGGACTTGCTTCTCAATTGTTTCACTTGCCGGTCAACGATTCATTCCGGCCACTCGGTGTACTCCATATTTTCATCAAGAGCTACCCAGTGATAATCAATCACATGAAACGGGTCTCGAAGATAACCCCTCAACGTCGACGCATAAAACACATTATGGATTTGCTCGAATCCCGATGGCAATGCGACTCAATAAGCAACTGGGCCAAGCCTTTCCAGAATTTGAAACAGCCCAATGTAATGGGGCGAAAACTTACCCTTCTTTCCAAACCTGACTTGGCCTTTCATCGGAGTCACATGGATGAACACATGGTCACCAACCTCATACTCGAGAGGTCTTCTTCGAACATCTACATAATTCTTTTGTCGGTCTTGAGCTGTTTTGAGCCTCTGTTAGATTATTTTGATTTTCTCAGAAGTGTCTTGCACAATTTCAGGCCCAAGCTCTATCCCCGACTTCTGTCCAACAAATCGGTGATCTACACCTTCTACAATACAAAGCCTCGTATGGTGCCATACCGATGCTAGAGTGGAAGCTGTTATTGTACGCAAACTTTGTCAGTGGCAAATAATCTTCCCAACTCCCCTGAAAATCCAAGGCACACATCCTTAGCATATCTTCTAATGTCTGTATGGTCCGTTCTGATTGCCCATCTGTCTGCGGATGAAATGCAGTACTAAATCTCAGTTCTGTTCCCATAGCTTCCTGCAAACTCTTCCACAATCTAGATACAAATTTCAGATCTCTATCCGACACAATAGATACTGGAACTTCGTGTAAACGGAAAATCTCATCAACATATTTTGTAGCCAATCTACAAGCATTAAATGTAGTTCTAACTGGTAGAAAATGTACAGACTTAGTTAGTTTATCAACTACAACCCAAATAGAATCCATACCTCGAGGAGTCCGAGGTAGACCGACAACGAAATTCATAGTCACATGCTCTCACTTCCATTCAGGAATAGGGAGAGGTTGAAGCAAACCGCCCAGTTTCTGATGTTCAACTTTAACTTGCTAACATTGAAGACATTTGGACACATATTCTACAATCTCTCTCTTCATTTTAGGCCACCAATAGCTTTGTTTCAAATCTCGATACATTTTATTGTTACCTGGATGCATAGCAAACACTGATTTGTGGGCTTCATCTAAAACCCTTTTCTTTAGTTCCAGAATATCTGGGATACACATTCAGTTTCGAAATCTCAACACTTCGCCTTCGATGCTAAACTCTGCTTTCGGACTTGTCTCAAATTCATCAATCACTTTCTTGAGGAATT